TCACTTTTCACTGAACTTCATACTTGACAAAAACATGTACGCCTCAGAGCGAGGCAACGCCGCACGAGTCATGTTTTTCGTGCGTGCAGCCGGCTCCATCGAATTATAAATAAGACGTTGTCACGTAAAAAATCCTTTGTTATAAAAATGTCTTCTCTACTGGATAGAGCGATCCCGAGTTACGACTTACACCGTCTTCGATGACAGTTAAAGAATTTCGTTCGCTCCGATAAGTCTGTCGGTCTGACTTCAGACAGACAATTTGTTCCATAATTTTGTATCGCTATAGACAAACAGGTTATTAGTAAAATGGGCTTTGAATCTTTCATCGAAGCGAAACTGGGTCAGTTGACTCTGATTGGAGGGAGGTGCTCGGTGTAGATGTGAATCTATTTCTTTATTGTATTTTATAATTACCAACATTTTTGGGGAAGCTTTTCAAGATTTGATAATACACAATTCAGTGTTTTGTTCAGTCTATGGACTTATACAGTAATCTGTAGTCCATAGACTTCATAGCGTGAATGTTACTAATTTGAGATATGAGGTCTTCACTGCTTTTAACCCGCCCTTTCAGTCGGAATACAGGACTGCTTCTCGCAATGAATAGGTAGAACAGTGATACCCATAGAATAGTATCAACAAAAAAACGATGTAAATTGGCTGTACGTTGTGTTAAGGAGTCCGGCATCAGATCAATTTGAAATGTAAAGAATGCTCATAGGAGCTTAGCCAATATTCAGCAGAACGCAATGTTCTTTTATGTAAAAAAATGTGACTGCCATAGGGAAGATAAGATTATATCGTATTTTTTACTAATAAGGCCGTAGACGTTTAATATTCTTACTGCTCGTAAGTAAAAACGCTTATACAACCTTCGGTTTTATTATGACATTAAGCGGGCCTATTAATTTTGTTTTAGTGCACTCCCGGAACACGCCATTTCCACTTGTTTTTCGTATTGTTACTATGTTAATTACGGGACGCGCATAAATATGTCGCTCTGGAGGACGTACTCAGAGGGAGACATGACCCTACTCCTTCATGTGGCCGCAGGACGAGGCTGACAGAGCAGAGTGCCCACTGATGCTTAAAGTTCGTTTGGAAGCTTTGAAAGTATTGTTCGTGAACGTCTTACAGTTACTTTAATGTAACACGATCTTTACATTAAAGCCTTTTTTTATTGCCCTTGTCGGCAGACGAGCATACGGCCCACCTGCATACCTGATGGTAAGTGGTTACCGTCGCCCATGGACTTCAGCAATGCTAGGAGCAGAGCCAAGCCGTTGCCTATCGTTAATTACTCTCCACAAGCCTCGGTTGAAGAAGGATACTATCATCAAAAGGACATTTATAACAAAATCTCTCAAGCATTACATAAGGGTTGTCTATATTTTGCAGCTACAAGCTTCTAAGCGAGTGTGCGATGTTGACCGAAAGTGGATTCTAACACTAACGCTATTGCAGTGCATTTTTGTATTGCCAGAGATTTCATATGTTCTTGTGATTCACGTGTTTTTGAAAAACGGGTCTATGATTAAGAAAAACGCTATCGGCTTAGGGCAATAGGCAGAGTGGTCCGTGCATTTTCAGAACTTTGCGAATTTTCGGTTCTATAATTTTTAATTTCTAGGCAAGGCGTGATAAGTAAGTCATAAGATTAATTTTATTTAAAGTCCTGTACTGAAGTCCGCCCCTGGCTGTCACGTAAACATGTGACCCCACAGTTTTGTTGGGCCACTTAGTCNTAAGAAAAACGCTATCGGCTTAGGGCAATAGGCAGAGTGGTCCGTGCATTTTCAGAACTTTGCGAATTTTCGGTTCTATAATTTTTAATTTCTAGGCAAGGCGTGATAAGTAAGTCATAAGATTAATTTTATTTAAAGTCCTGTACTGAAGTCCGCCCCTGGCTGTCACGTAAACATGTGACCCCACAGTTTTGTTGGGCCACTTAGTCATAAGCTCGGGTGGCGTACCCCAACGGGGTCATTAACCCAGGCCTAAATGAAATTTAATGATTACCGTTCGAGTTGGATACAACTTTGTACTGATTTAGTATTTGATTAATGGTTGGTTTAAATCATACATGTTTGAATCAAATAGATTCGGTTTGTCTTTTTTTTTTGTAGACAGGTGAGTTCACGGTGTACCTGCTGATAAGTGATTATCTGAGCCTCCACGTCTAAATTCGAATGTCACCCATAGAGCATGAGCTACAAGTCGCGATTATATGAATAGGATGGACCGCGAAAAAGCTCAGCGTTTCTTCATTTACAAAATACTTTACAATTTTTACGAGGTGCTTTGGTCAGTGCTTTATATAAACGAATCTCTACACAGGACTGACCAAAAATCTGTCGTGTATTTGTTGTGTTGGTGATGATGTGAATGATTATATTCTGTGGTGTCGGTACTCATGTCCCGCCGGATCTGTCACAGCTCATCTGGAACCCCATTTACGGATTTTCCTGTTGTCATTCTCACAGTAACAATTACATCGGTCGCTCCGTGCATCGAGCGAACTGATTACTCCGTTTGCCCACTTAATGCCCGTAAGCTTGTTAGCTTACGAGCTGCCGATGATGTTAGTCCATAAAATAATAAACACATAATTTTTATTTGTTAATGTTTCCGCGTGTGTCCCCGAAATTCCTAATGGCGGACAATTAAGTTCTATTTGTGTACATTCAAGGCTTTTCGTTCATAAACTTCACAGCTGACTGAAAGTATATTGTTTATTTTACAAAAGTTAGACTTATATTTTACTGTTGATTGAGGTCGACACGAGGTCACGATCAGGAAGCTCTACGTTTAATGAAACGAAGTTATTGGCTAGGTTAATAACTATGGAAGACATTGTCAACGCACCACATCTTACGTATATATATTTCTCAAAAACTGAAAACAAACTTGTACTTTTTTCTTTTTTATATGTCGAACAACTTCTAACTGATTTCCGTCGCAAATTTCTCAGAAGTCGTGCGTTCCAGTTTTAAGGGTGGATTATCCGCTGTTATAAGGTAATTGAGACTTGGACCACACGACTCCAGATAGGTCATAGGCATTCTAATTGTGAAATCTAATAACTTAGCTAATCAGGCTGGTCATAATGGTCGTAATGGTCGTGAGTCTGCTTTACAATATAAGAAGCCAGAAAGAGATTCTAGCAACTATTAACTAGTTCTAAAACTTAAATTCTAATAGAGACCATTTGAAGTCAATGTCCTTTCTAAATGAAGGAACATATTAATTAAAGTACATCTTAATATTGGATCAATTACAGTTGATTGTAGAGATGTTAGGACAGGATGCCGGCGAGACTAAGGGATTCATTAGACGAATTAACTTAACTTGTATCTTCTTGATTGGTTCATTAATGATGTGTCAGATATATAAATATTTCATAGGGGAGTTTTACGTGTAACTGTCATCTATTTCTGAATTAGAGCATAGTTCTCTTTGCCATGTGATTGCTCAGTGCGGATAGATCTAGGCCAGCTCATTCAAACTGTTCAGATGTGTTTGCATGCTTGTACTTTCTTGTGCGTTATTATTATCAAAAATAGCTTGTGAGTCTTCCTGACAAAACATTTAGACCTATGTAGGTATTTTTTTTAAAATCGGTACTGTTTGGAGTCAAACACTACGAGAGCTTTTGAGGTCATCAGATCTTAATCAACGTGTCCTTTGCGATCCGTTTTTGCTACTTCCCAACCATCTGCTCGTGGGATCTATTCTTTTACAAAAAGAATAATTTGTAACCCCTTAGACTTAGGTCTTAAATGAATTTACCATAGATAGCAACCATCATGTTAAAGTGAGACAAATTGTGTAACCGATATGAACATATTGATACAAATGGGTACTAATGAAATTGAACACTTGGGTAAAACTTTATACATCTCAACTATGTCCATTAATCTTTCAAACAGATTAAAAACTTATTTAGCAAAAAAAATGCCTGGATGGTTGGACTAGCTCAAAGTCCACCTGGTGTTAAGTGGTTTCGGAGCCCATAGACATCTAAGATNAATAATTTGTAACCCCTTAGACTTAGGTCTTAAATGAATTTACCATAGATAGCAACCATCATGTTAAAGTGAGACAAATTGTGTAACCGATATGAACATATTGATACAAATGGGTACTAATGAAATTGAACACTTGGGTAAAACTTTATACATCTCAACTATGTCCATTAATCTTTCAAACAGATTAAAAACTTATTTAGCAAAAAAAATGCCTGGATGGTTGGACTAGCTCAAAGTCCACCTGGTGTTAAGTGGTTTCGGAGCCCATAGACATCTAAGATATAAATACCGACTAAAGTTCTAAGGTCAGTTTTTACAGTACAAGGGTTGTCCCATCCTTCAAACCGAAATGCATACTGCATCACAGCAGAAATAGGCAGAGTGGTACCTACCGATGCGGAATCACCAGACGTCTTATCACCAGTAATTACGTAAATCATAACTTTGCGAGTTTCATTTTTATCACACGATATTATTCGTTCACCGTAGAAGTCAATTGTGGATCTTTGATAAGTACGTATTTCATTTGAAAAATTGGTACCCGCCTGCGGGATTCGAACACCGGAACAGTCGCATCGCTCGATGTGCTAAGCATCTTACCCTTTAGGTCACGATGACTTATAAAAATATAATCTGTCTCTAATTTTGTACTTTCGATATTTTGACTGAGAGTCACTCATGGCCCTTTGGGTATTAATTTAATACATTTGCCAGTGTAAGTTAATTACGATAACTAAATTAACTCGAAACCTATCGTAAACATACAATGAAGAGATAAAGACGAACTGTGTTCGCGTAATTAAACATCTCTCACAATATACTTGATTAGGCACGTATTTAATAGTGACTAAAAGGTTTCCTCCAAATCCAATCGACAACTTCTCTAATGTAAGAAACAGAACCGGCGATAACGTCGCCTCACTGACAAAAGGAAACTAATTAAGGCACCCCTCGTTTCTTTTGTTGCAGATAAATCGCATCAATGTGACTGAGAACAAAGATGGACCTCAAATATCTGATCCTGATGATTGCACTTGCGACTATAGAAATAAATGTAACAGAAAGTAGACAAGATAAAAGGAGATGGAAAAATGATAAAGGACCGTATTCTCTTTACGTTAACGTCTGCGATATTCAAGATAGGGCATCTAAAGTGCACTGCTATTGCGAGAGCACTGACATCAAAACCGCGACGAAGGCAGATTGTTGGGTCTTCAATGGCGGCATCGCTGAAGACGACCCCTTTTGGTCAAACTTTTACTCACAGCCGCGAATTGAGAGACTGACTTTTAACGTGAGAGCAGACGGCGGATTGACTTACATACCGGCCAAAGTCATAGTTAGATTAGAGAGGCTACAGTACCTGAATGTGCAGTATGCCAATATCTACAGTATCCCTTCGTTTGCTTTCACAAACTCGACAACCCTTCGAGAAGTTATTCTGCCCAAAAACAAAATAGCGAAGCTCGAAAAGATGTCATTCGCTCATCTCATAATGTTATTAAATGTTAGCTTAACAGAAAATCAGATATCGGAGTTGAAGCGAGACGTGTTTTATGTATTACCAAATCTCCAAAGGCTGGAACTCACTAAGAATATCCTGAGCGTTCTGCATGACGGATGCTTCAAACATCTCAACAATTTGATCAAGCTGGATTTAGACCACAACCTGCTGACGGTCATCATCAGAGAGAACTTTCAGGGCTTGTCTAACCTCATTACACTGAACATGAGGAACAACAAATTAACTATGGTAGGGGACCTCGCCTTCGCCGAACTTTGGAGTCTTCAAGAACTTTACCTGGACGCAAATGAAATAGAATTTATATCCGAGAGGGGTTTCGGGGGATTGACTCAGCTTCGAAAACTTTATTTAGCCGATAATAAGTTGGCGACGTTAGACGAAGGAATTTTTGGCGATGTTCAGAAGTTGAACGTTTTGGATCTGAGGAACAATAAGTTGGAGACTCTGAAACAGGAGGCCGTTCAAAATGTTTTAGAAAACATGAAGTCGAATTATGCGGTAATCTCTCTCGACGGTGAGCCGGATTCTGATAACTTTGTTTTATAATTTATCTTCGTTTGTTCAGTTCCGAATTTATTCTGTCTTGTTATTAATTGGCGCGGATATCTAACAAGTTTTATTGCGTTCATGTCATTATTTCTATGAAACTTTGCTACATTGCTCGTTTGTATTTCCCTTCGTTACGATTTTAATCGATTTATGATGAAACTCAGTTGTTCTCTGATTTGTATTCAGTTCTTGTACGAGATTTGTTTTGAATAATTACATTACGAAGGGTTCAGACGTTTCATTTTATATTGTTAATTATATATGTACTGTATGTATGTAACGGTGAAATTATATAGATTATAAACATTTGCGTCATTGTAAGCATCATAACGTCATACGAGTAGTAAAGAATTATTACCTACATCAACTGACAACAATCGTTACCACTACAAACAAATCAATCCAATAACGTGTTGAAATTTTAAATTATATATACAACATGTTTTTAAATATTGCGTCCGATAGCCTTAATAGCAATTAATTAAAATTTTGCATGACATTATTGCATTGACAATAAATCAAATCAAATCAAATCAAAAAAAAATTTATTCAACATAAATGAAAGTACATACTTGTTGAACGTCAAAAGAACTACCGCCAATTCACAAGAACTAGCCTCCGTCCTGAGAAGAATTGGCAAGAAACTCAGCGAGCATGTCTTTTTTTTCTTTTCTTTTTAAATATGAAATATTATTTATTTATTTTTTAATATTAGTTTTTTTTTTTTTTAAATATGAATTTTTTACAATGAGTATTATAACGTAACAATTACTACAATATTGAAATGCCCGGAGCGAGCAACTCATTCCCACTTTGTGCAATCTTCTAAATAATCATTGACTTTATAGTAAGCTTTATTGCACAGATGTTCTTTAATAGTTTTCTTAAACCTATGTATATGTAGGTTCTGAACATCTTGTGGGATTTTGTTGTACAGGCGCACAGACAAACACCCGAATGAATTTCGTATCTTATGTAACCTACTCATCGGCACAACAAGCTTGTGTTTGTTCCTAGTATGTATTATGTATGTCCGACTTTTTGGGAAACTCCTCAATATGTTTACGAACATACATCAAATTTTCAAAAATGTACTGGGATGGCATAGTGAGAACTTTAATTTCTTTAAATTTCTCCCTCAGGGATTCCCTTGAGTGCATGTTTATAATTCCCTTGAGTGCATGTTTATGCAATATTCAAGTTTGAAAATAAATCTCATCTGCGTTTTTGCCAATGTTAACTAGTAAGAACATAGTAAACAAACGCTGAGAGCCGATTACAGGAGGTAAGCGCTGTGAAGTAACTTTGCAATCTCCGTAAAACTTCCCGCAAACTGTAACATAATTATGTTACTTAAAATAAGTTTCGCGAAAGGACTTCAATTAACAAGAATCCGACATCTGTCAGTGGAGTTAATTAGGGCACGCACGCGTCCCCAGCCGCTCCGTTTGGTTAATTAACTGACGTTAAATTTCAGTGTATTTGTCGTACGATTACTACGAGTATACGAGTAGGTACACAGTAAAACTATTGCGTGACGCTCCGATTCAGCCCTTAACTGTGATTCGATTCATTCCTTCGAAGTCAATTTCAATTCTATTTTGAGATTTGTGTTTTGGGTTTTGGCTTATACCTTTTTATGATGGTATTTAGATGTACGAGTGAGTTTTGTTGTTGTGGACATTTTGACTTGACAGCGTCTTATAATTCGATGGAGCCGGCTGCACGCACGAAAAAACATGACTCATTCGGCGTTACGTCGCTCTGAGGCGTATCCATTTAAGGCTTGAAGTGCAAGCGAGAGCGCGCAACGAGCGACAAAGAGGCACAATCGGCCTCCGCGTTCGGCAGCGTTCGACATCTGTCTCTCTCCTATTTGAGTGAGCGATGCATCCGCGTGGACAGCTGCTATACAATAATACATTTACATGTTTTCGTCAAGTATGAAGTTCAGTGAAAAGTGAATGTGGTGTCAATTGTTTATAGCAACGATAATTGCGATAATTGAAATATGAAGCCATTCCATCAGTATTTTCTTATGACGTTGTCACATTCAACTATCGTCAGTAAACCGACTTTACAGACAACCGATTTTTTTTTAAACTTCCGATAACTTACATACGTTGACAGACATAGTTGTATTTTCAAGTAGTCGTCACTGTTTATTTCCTAAGGTCATACGGTCCACCTGGTATTAAAAGTTATTGCAGCTCATGGATAACACCAAGCGAATTGCACCTCCCACTTAGAGACACGAGATCCACATGTCCATTTTTTCTCCATACGACTATTTCTACTTTCAATTCCTAACGCATCACTGCCTACTTACTTAGCTTTATTGCTCGGATTTAACTTTTTTACTTTTTGTTACTCCGCTTTTTTATGTGTTTGTTATGTGTGTAAAAAAGCATAATTTTATGATTAATTTGTTTATATCTATACATCTTAGATATACATGGGCGTGTGTGTATGTATATGTGTGTACGTATGTACATATATTTCAACCGATGGGTACACCGCGCGTCGTCCTACATGCAACCTAACCCATACTTCAGCCCGCTGAGTTTCTCGCCAGGTCTTCTCAGCAGTTCGTGATTCAGATCAGGTAGTAGATTCATTGGCAAACCAGTTACTCTTGAGTTGTTAGGTCTCCTCCTGAGATGCTCGGGTAGCTGTTAGCAAATTCCTTCCCTCCTGGTTGAGTCTTTTTTCGCCCAACTGTCTGGATGAAACTGGAAAGGCCTCCGGGCCACCAGTAATCCTTCCTCCCCCTTGCATAAATTATTTCCTCTTCTTGTCCACCTAACGGTTGTCTGGAAGAGATCGCTCTTAGCGATAGGATGGTACATTGACCGTTTTTTATTTAATGTTTTGCTTTCTTATTTATGTTGTGTACAATAAGACATGCTCTCTCTCACTCTCTTTCTCTTTCTTCGTTTAATAGTTTTGACTTGGAAAAATTAGAACTTAAGATCTGGATTTGAGCTCCAGCACTGTCATATTAGCAATTAGGCTACGGATGCCTCTCATAATTTTATTGGCTTAAAGGTAATGTTACCAGGCCATAAAACCTTTAAATAGAAAAATAGTTTACTATTGACTATCATTAATCTGTACAAATTATTAAAATGCAACCAGTTATCCAGCTGGACAGTTTAATGGCACATTATATTGTGTGGACGCCATGCATTCTGGTGTTCCGCTTCACTAGCGATATGATTAAATGCACGTCACATCTGTTAATTCTGTTCCGTGGTCCGCTAAATTACCGTTCTGCAATGCATTGGACTGTGCAAAGTATGTATGTATGTATGTATGTATATACTACGTATGTGATGCACACAAGGCACGCCTTTTTCAGAGTCAGAAATTGCTAATGAGACTCAGACTTTGATTTGTATCGTGGATGCTGATGGAAATTTTTATATAATCTATATATATAAAACGAATTGCTGTTCGTTAGTCTCGCTAAAACTCGAGAACGGCTGGACCGACTTGGTTAATTTTGGTCTTGAATTATTTGTGGAAGTCCAGAGAAGGTTTAATAGGTAGATAAATATAAAAATGCTCGGAATTAAATTTAAATAACAATTTTGTTTTTCCTTTGATGTGTCCCCCGTCGGACGGATACCTTTTGTTTGTTTTAAGTTTATTTTATACAAAAGTTTAGGTCTTTTATTTATCGATTGAGGCCTGCCGGGTCAGCTAGTTATTCATCATTATCCTGCCCTTCTCCCAGTCACCTGGGGTCGGCGCAACATGTTTTCTCCTTCCATACTCTTCTATCATATACCATTTCTTCGCTCACTCCCCTCCTACCCATATCGTCTTTCACACAATCCATCCATTTCTTCTTAGGTCTACTTCTTCCTCTAAATCCTTCCACATTCATAGTTAACACTCTCTTAACAACCTCATTTTCATTTCGTCTCATCACATGTCCATACCATCCCAAACGTGCACTCCTCAGCTTCTCTGTCACAGGTGCCACTTTCAGACTTCCTCTAACATATTCATTCCGTATTCTATCCATTCTCGTTACTCCACACATCCATCGCAACATTNGCTTCTTCCATTTGACTCCATACAGAGGAGGGCCGTTCGGATTGTCGATAATCCCAGTCTCACGGATCGTTTGGAACCTCTGGGTCTGCGGAGGGACTTCGGTTCTCTCTGTATTTTATACCGTATGTTCCATGGGGAGTGCTCTGAGGAATTGTTCGAGATGATACCGGCATCTCGTTTTTACCATCGCACCGCCCGCCATCGGAGTGGAGTTCATCCGTACTACCTGGAGCCACTGCGGTCATCCACAGTGCGTTTCCAGAGATCTTTTTTGCCACGTACCATCCGGCTATGGAATGAACTCCCCTCCACGGTGTTTCCCGAGCGCTATGACATGTCCTTCTTCAAACGAGGCTTGTGGAGAGTATTAAGCGGTAGGCAGCGGCTTGGCTCTGCCCCTGGCATTGCTGAAGTCCATGGGCAACGGTAACCACTCACCATCAGGTGGGCCGTATGCTCGTCTGCCTACAAGGGCTAAAAAAAAAAAAAAATATCTGTGAATTATTTTGAATGTGAATGTTTGTAGATTTAAATAGTCGTTACCCTACTACTGATCTGATTTTAATGAAATTTCGTAAAAAATGTTGTCAATAGCCTGAAAAAATGAGTTCTTGTGTCGAGCGCCTTGTGTCATAAGTACGACATTTATTTTGAACTAATTAAAGGGGGAGTAGGGTAAACAATTTATGTTAATGAAAAAAGTAGCAACAAAATGATACTTGACAGATTATCGCAAAATATTTTTGATTCAGAATCTCAAAAATCAAATGCGCACTTAATTCTGTTTTTATTATTTATTGATAGCAGTTTTATGTTCGTTAGACTGACATTCGAAGAGATTGTAAGCCAATAACTTCAGAAATACCAAGTTTATTGTTTTTAGTAAGTTTAGCAAAAGAGATTCTAAAACAAATTGGTGTACTATTTATGCTGTCACGTTATTATTAAATTATTTCTCATTTGGTGGGTAGATTTGCCATTACTACTTATTTATGGAAGCAATATCATTTAAACCAAATGAAATTCTGATATTTTAAAAGCAATTTAAATATATTTTTGTTCACAGGTAACAAATTGACGTGCGACTGTCGTCTATCATGGCTTCTGAAACTGCAAAATGAAACAAGAAGCAAACGTCTCAGAGCCTCAATAAACCGTCTCAACTGTGTCGATGCAAAAAATAAGATTACCGCTGAACTTAAAATTGAAAATGATGACAAACTTAAGATTAAGAAGCAAGGTCCAGATTATGATGATGACAGTGATGAAATTAGCGATAAGTACTATGATGATGCGATGCAAGACCAAGAAAATGATTCTGGAGATAGTAAAGTTGAATACAGGAGGAGACTGACTGATATTCCAAAGGAATTTTTGGCTTGTTCCAATCGCTTGGTTCACGGCATCACGTTTTCACCGCCTACCCAAGACGAGGTTAAATATTACAAATCTTCATCTAGCACGCGGGTTTTGGGCTCATTTTCTATTTTATATTTTCTGTTTGGATTCTCGAAATTATTTTAGCGTAATTAATGTTAGGTATTATGAGAAGTTACTTTATTACTTATTAGTGGTGGTAGGGCGTCTACTGGGCCCAGCACGGGTAGGTACCATCGCCCTACCTATTTACGTTGTTGATGTCTATGACATCCGGTAAGCACTTAACATCAGGTGGGCCGTGAGTTCGTCCACGCATCTAAGCAATTTAAAAAATATTTCAGATTTTATCTTTCTTATTGTGCATCATTACATTAGCAATGGACCTACCTGGTGGTGACTAATGAGAGCTGTACAATCGCTCCGGGGTAGATTTATAAATCTCGTTTGAAGGAAGTTCCATGCCACTTAAGTAATATCCCAGAGAAGAGAGCTTCAATTTGCCTGATAAAAATTATCTCTAATAATATCTCGCATAAGTATATTTCAATTTAAGCTATACTCAAAATTTATGATGAGTAATTAAGTAATGATGAGGAAGATGAGTAGTATTTCGGGTGATGCTGTATATTTCTGAACGAAATTCATTATAAGCTATATGTTTAAATTGATACCTTACTGTCCTCAGTTTAGAACGCGTAGTTTTGTCACTTTTAACAAATTATCAGCATATTTTAAGAAACTATGTATGTAATATAAGAACGATGCATATAAGAATGATGATTATTTTCAATCATTACACTCACATTGTTAATGATATAATATAGTCCGCCATCTAAAAACTATTCATAAAATACCCAACAAATAAGTTAAGTATTATTTTAGATGTCAGTTCAATACAATTGGTAAATTAATTTGCGTAATTACTGATCGTATTGTGGTAGGTGGTCTTCTAAGTCTGCCGCGTCTATTTCCGCCGTGAAGCAGGCATTATTTCTTCCGCTATGTACAAGTGAGATTTCGAACTCTTGTCTCAAGGTGGGTGGTGGTCTTTCCGTTGCTTTATTTATAGTTTCAGCAACGACTCATCAGGTGGGCTCATTTAATAACACAAACCCTAAAAAAATCATAATCGTAAGTAAAATGGACCCAAAGAAGCATCTGGGTTGATTTTTCATCAGATAAAAGTTATCGAACAAGAAAGTTATATGTAACCTATAAAATTCTGTTAAAACAACTGTCTTTCATTCATGTTTAGTTTTATGAATATAAATGAATAACTTATTTTACTTTATAACTTAATAAATTAAGAATTCAACAGACCAAAGTAAATTATTAATTTTTGAGATTGTAGAATAATGTGCAAAAAATTTTACAAATAGGAATTAGTTAGGAACTACTTTATCTAAATGTATTAATGAATATGAGTTTTATTCCAAAAACGTTGACGACAAATTTGGCCAATGTGACGCTGCTCAGGAGACAAGACACACAGTCGTGTACCAGTCGGTACTGATCAATTATATTCCACACCTACATGTGTACATATCATTGAATCGAAACTTTATGGCTCTTCAAAACTAATTGAAATTTTAACACTTGATAATATATGTAAAGAAAAACCTTTATTATTTAAGCACTAGTTTCTAAAAAGAATTTTTCTTCAGTGTCATAGAGTTAGTAAAAAAAAATTCAATTTGTTTAAAATATTAGTTTTAAAATAGATCAAGGGTTTTAAATGTTGTTTTCTCGATAACTGGAAACGAAATTAAGTCTTTTATTGTTCATTTATTCTGAAGTACTCCGTATCATTATATGTATAAATTTCTTCAAAGTTTTAGAGTTGATAATTTAGCCGAAGCTTGGAGAAAAGATTAAACACTTTTTATTGAAAAAGATTAATTAGGTTTTATGTTTCATTAATTAAAACTCCTGTTGTAATTAAAAGTTTTAACAAAAACAAAACGAGTTTCAAGAACTCACAATTTCGTAGTCTAGTAATAGGGTGAGCGGAAATATAAGTAAATGATAATTAAAACAACTTTTATTTCTGAATAAAAATATATTTTTTACTATAAATTAACGTTAAACACTTTAGTAATTAACAGAATACTCGTAGTATTTTAAATAAATTGATCACTTATTTTAATTGTAAAGTAATTCTCACATTAAAGAATTAACTAAAACCGGATTTAACAAAATTATCCGGCAGAAATATTCACAAAAAGGCAACAACATAAGAATAAAAAATACGGTTATAAGAAAAGAAAAAAAACCAGTTAAATTATATCAAATAGCAAATAGCGCTGTATATTTGGAAATACAACGTTGAATCAGCACACCAAAGATTATTTGTGAATGGTTCTGAGTACGGCATTCCAAGTTAATTTACGCTGTTATTTTTGAAAGCATTAAATGTAAATAATCTACTGTGTTATTGTAGAATGAAAATAAATTGATACTTTTACAAAGGTTCCGTGTTTCAATTTAATTTTGTCGTCAACACAACTGTCTACCTTGTGTAGCCATAGTTTGCTTTTTTTCTATTGCCCTTGTTGGCAGACGAGCTCACAGCCCACCTGGTGTTAACTGATTACTGGAGCCCATGGCATAGACATCTACAACGTCAATGCCGCCACCTATCTCGAGACATGAGTTGTAAGGTCTCAGTTTTAACAGTGCAACGGCTGCGACACCCTTCAAACCGAAACGCATTACTGCTTCACGGCAGGAATAGTTGTAGTGGTGGTACCTACCCGTGCGGACTCACAAGACCTTCTACCACCAGTGTTATTTATTTGTAACCTTTTATGAATTTGTATGAACTGGCGGATTTAATGACCAAAGCGTCTTCGATGACAACGGACTTAGGCTTGTTGCGATCTTGCTGGATCTAGACTCTAGAACCTATAACATTAAATTATTTTTATTTTTGGCAGTGGTTTGGCTCTGCCCCTGGCATTGCTGACGTCCATAAACAACGCTAACCACTCACCAACAGGATCAGGTGGGCCGTATGCTCATCTGCCTACACGGGCAATAAATAAATAAAATCTGATTTTTATTCCACGATGTTATTTTTTTACGGAAGCCATTTTTTAATATGTGTAAGTACGTATTCAGAATTGTAACTACTTGTTGGATTTGAGCACACGCATAGCTTGCTGCGAGTACACCGGGCGTCTTATCTTTTAGGCCACAACGACTTCAAATGCTCTATCACATGTATTGGTTGGTAGACGATCTCTACACGCTGGAGCTCAATTAGGAAAACACTCCGAGTACTCGTGTCAAATGAGATGATTTCACCGAAACGCGCCTTAAAAGATTTCTTTCAAATAACAACACGATCATAAAATGTACTTCCAATCATATCTCTATCAATTACCTTTATTATTACAGAATGCCATTCATAAAACCTTTATTTATTTTATCTTCTTGGAAAAAATCCAGAAACATCAATCACAGTTATTATCAAACCCTAATTAATTTCACGTTAACTCAAATTTAATTTTTATTGGAGAGTCTGAAAAATAATCTACATCTTTTTTATTTTATTTGAAGCGGCCTCTGAAGGCAAATTAATTAATCAACCGACCTGGTTTCAAATAATTAATTGGCAATTTTTTTTTGGGAAAAAATAAAATTCTTTCGGCAATATTATAAGTGTGAAGCCTGTCGGCGCTTTTTTCCGTCTATATAAAAGTTTGTCTCAATTAATCAGTAATTAATTTTCGATTGCATATTTATAATACGTACTTAGCTATAAAATTTAAAAAAGAGCTGGCACTTGACGCACCCATCTTCTTCAGTTTCAAAAATAAGATGTGATTTCTCGAGGTGAGATACATAATACCTTCGTGAGCGTCCATCAGTGGTGGTGACTACTTACCATCGGATTATTTGTTAGCCATCGAGGACATAATTCAGTTTTGCATACATTCCATATAATTCAAAATCGTCGTGGCCTAAACAATAAGACGTCCGGTGCATTCGTATGAAGCGATGCACCGGTGTTCGAATCCCGCAGGCGGGTACCAATTATTCTAATGAAATAAGTACTTAACAAATGTTCACGATTGACTTCCACGGTGAAGCAATAACATCTATATACTTATATATAAAAATGAATTGCTGTTCGTTAGTCTCGCTAAAACTCGAGAACGGCTGGACCGATTTGGCTAATTTTGGTCTTTAATTATTTGTGGAAGTCCAGAGAAGGTTTAAAAAGTAGATAAATCTGAAAATGCTCGGAATTAAATAAAAATTACAATTTTGTTTTCCCTTTGATGTGTCCCCCGTCGGACGGATTCCTTTTGTTTGTTTTAGTTTATTTTATACAAAAGTTTAGGTCTTTTATTTATCGATTGAGGCACTACGAAGTCTGCCAGGTCGGCTAGTCGTGTAATAAAAATTAAACCTGCAAAATTATAATTTGTGAGTGTAAGTCCGCACGGGTAAAAAAAAANAATAAAAATTACAATTTTGTTTTCCCTTTGATGTGTCCCCCGTCGGACGGATTCCTTTTGTTTGTTTTAGTTTATTTTATACAAAAGTTTAGGTCTTTTATTTATCGATTGAGGCACTACGAAGTCTGCCAGGTCGGCTAGTCGTGTAATAAAAATTAAACCTGCAAAATTATAATTTGTGAGTGTAAGTCCGCACGGGTAAAAAAAAAAGGTACCATCACCCTGCCTATTTCAGCCGTGAAGCAGTAATATGTTTCGGTTTGAAGGGTGGGGCAGCCGTTGTAAATACTGAGACCTTAGAACTCATATCTCAAGGTGGGCGGCGGCATTTACGTTGCAGATATCTATGGGCTCCGGTAACCACTTAACCCTAGGCGGGCCGTGAGCTCGTCTACCTAGCTATCTATGCAATAAATAAAAGAAAAATTAATGTTAATTTATATATAAAGGAATATGATTTTCTAGGTATAGCAGAACAGCGTGGCCTGGACTCATTCGCTGCGTTTTAATGGAACATGGTGTAACGGAAATGAAAGTGGCCATTTATTTCGTCTGTAGATTTAAATAATTCAAACAATCCAGCCGTTCGATGGAGGAGGAATCGTCGAGCAAGTGCTCGTGTTTATTGAAAAACCGATATTTTTTGACTACTCAATATAATTATCTCATTTGTACTTTTACCGGGCCTCGACAATACAATTCGACAGTTCAAGATTAATCCTAATGTCTACATTTGACGTAGACGTTTGACAGAAATGTAATGTGTAACGGTGAGTTAACTTAAGTGCAGTCCGGTGCCGCATCGCTCCTCACGCCTCTGTTCAGCAATTGAGGAACAAAGTGCACCGTCACCGTAATCATGCCGACATCCTCATGAGCCGCTAAGCAGCAATACAAAACGGAGTTTCAAATCGCATCAAATTTACTATAATATGATAAGTAGTTTTGTTGTTATGCCCCGCTAATATCATAAATCGATGTCCTTCTCATCAGCATTGACGGATAAAACGATTATGGATTAGACTGTTTTGCCATTTGTTTATTCGTGCAGCCACATATTTTGAAACACGAGGCCCGAGTTTCAATTACACAGCCTGCCCTTTCAAAGAGGAATGCATGAACGCATATTTTTTTTAAATCGTTCCCCATAATGATCCCGGAGGCCAGCAACGGCTAGATTTAAGCCGGGTACCTTTGTTCTCGATTTGGTCACCAATCCGGGATTACAATGATTTGTTTACCGTATGTTATGTGGATTTTCCGCAATTCTGTATGAGCGTACACACATACCTATTAAGGGCCACCTGCATTCTTGATGAAAAAGTTTTTTTTTGTTCAATTTAGGTTTTTCAGCGAAAGTACTTCTTATTTTGAAAATTATATTATATATTAATACACTAGGAGTGTTAATACATCGAATAGACTTTCCTAAATGTAAAGGCATCTTTTAGAGCTCCAACGTGCCAGAGTATCCTCGTTACCTTGTCAAATAACATTAAAAATAAAACTCAGAGAGATCGGATTTAAACAAATACGTATCTCAGCCCGAGTCCGATCGCCGTAAGAGGCTGCCAACTCCAATTTATTCAAGATACTGTTTGGCTGTATTCGGAGTCTCTATGAAGGATAAAATCAGGATCACCACTCATGAAACTGTCGAGTAGCACGACTCAGGTTTTAACCAAATATCTTCTATATCTATATAGCTAACGCTGCTATGTTATATAATAATATATAGCGGATTTCATTAACGGTTTGTTTCAGTCATGTTCCAATCATAAACATTTTTCCTGGTTAAACTTGTTTGGTAAAATAAACACGTGTAGCACCCTAAAAGCCTTGTAATTGATGAAAATCGTAATGAGGTGCGATTCGAGCCGGTATTCAATTTAACCGACAATGTTTAGGCGAACGAAAAACGTACAAACGTAAATAAAAAGTTTTTTTTTTTAAATATTGTTTCCCTGCGGTAACAATAAATTTA